GATATACTTTCTCGATCAAATTCCTCAAAACCTTATGCAATAATAATTTTTCTGTCTTTCATACGCATAAAAAATAACATGTAGGACTTTATTATGTAATAAAACCTAAAAAAATCATTAAAATTGAGAGAAATGTTTATAATGAGCTGCTGTTGCCTTCTAACAGAACAGCTTTTTTCTGTTTATTTTTTAAGACAGCTGTATTTATTTATTTATTTATTTATTTATTTATTACTCATTATTAAGCTGCGCGCTGGAGTAATTATAATTATTATAGTATTAAATATTATATTTATCCTGTCTTGAAAACTATTTTTCAGTATTGAAAATTAAATCTGTTTGATACTCAAGAAAAGTTAGTGAGGAAATTGTTTACCTGTCTTCTACTTTTATAATTATGACGTTAAATGAAACTGCCCTGTCATTTTCCTTTCTTTACCTTTCCTTTGTTTTTTCTTTTGATTTTCTGAAACCTGAGAATTTGTAATTTTTACACACTTTTAACGTAAAGTTACTGTCTCTAAATCAGCAATTGCTGGGACAGAGGGATACCCACCAAAAATGGAGGAGTGGGGTAGTGTCAACAGAGCAGCTTTCCCAGCCGCGCACACAGTCAACGGGATTGACAAGTCAGCCATTGACGCCGACATAAAATATGCTCAGGTAAAAATCTGTGGGTACACTGCACGGCCCGTGACCTTTCTACACTCAAACTGCACACGTATGCACACCTTGCATTGCTTTAATTTATTTTCTGTAAAAGAAACAGTCCAAAGTGCTTAATGCCAGATGCTCGTGCTACAAAGGCCTGTGGCAAAACTGTAAAAAGGGCTCATCCACAGAGTTCTTTTTGCGTTCAGGCGGGATTTTATTGGGTAAACGAGTCTTTTGAGTTTTGAAGTGGATGGTCGATGGAGGAAATCTAGTAGTGCGTATATATTCTAATTTAGCGTATTCATGGTAAATTAAATTATAGTGAAACACATGTATTCGAAACCACTCAAACACCAAGCACCGTTTCTCAGAACCACTGCCGAAGGCCACATGCCGCTGTCACACAGCCTGCAATTAGAAGTTCTGTCAATTTTGTGTGTTTGTGCTTATTTTCTGCATGTCTTATCTGCCTGTTCACAGCCTTCCTCGACATTGTCTAGTTATGTACCGGCGTGTGCTTACTCCCCAACCAACCAGTACGGGGTGTACAGTGGGCCAGCAGGCGGATACGTGGCCCCGGGCCACCACCACTGGCAGACGCAGAGCCCGGCTCTGTCCCACCCAAGCAGCGGGATGAGCATGCACGCAGGAGAAATCCACTCCCCGATGACCTTTAAACACCAGGCCCGAGAAGGTACAGGACAGGCAGGCATATTATTATTATCATTATTATCATTATCATTATTATTATTATTACTTGTATTTTTTTTTATTAAATGTTGTTGTTGGGTTTTTGTTTTATTTTTTACTTTTTGAAATGTATTCAGCTGGTGGCCGCACAAGACCACGCGGTTCTCTCCCTGCCTTTCTCTTGTCACGCACCCACACTTTGCAATAAGCAATGACCGTAACGGATGTAAACACGTGCCCAATCCCAGAGAAAGTAACTGTATGACAATGATCAAATATTGACCTTTCAGACTTGGACATCCTCATGCAGGCCAAGTTGCCCGAGACCATTTTAGCCTTTGGAAACTTACTTTTTAAGGAAATACGTCTGAAAATGTTCCTAGTTTGAGGAAAGCAAGTGGATTTTAAACTTAAGTAAAACAGTTCTCTTTAGACCCATTCTACAGAAGCAAATAATCACCTGATGGGAATTTGCACACTGTATATTTCTTCTGTTTTTTGCAGGAGACAGAAAACCGCCCAGTCCCCTGAGCAAGCCGCAGCAGCAGCAGCAACATGAAGACTTGAACAGTGTGCACGGACTCAGTCTCCCTACCTCATCATCATAACCGGGAATTATAACACCTTAGTCACCACAACCATTTAAATGAACTCATTTCAACAACTGCGACAGTAAGTCTGAACACTAACGGCTTGTTTGCATCTAAACACGGGCCAGATCACGTGCATTATGAGTGCAGAATAGCTTTATCGGTCTCTGCGGCCATATGAATGTAAGCTTGCATGGATGTATCGGTGTTTCCCCGCACTGGCTGATAGTTTTCTTTGTTTTTCATTTGAAACCCTTCATGTTGCTGGACAGTATATTCTCCAATTGAGATAGCAGGATTTTAAAAAAAAAATCAAAAAACATTGTGTAAGTCTCCTCCGCCTTGGATGTTTTCTTCCTAAAACCAGAGCTGGTCTGTAATCCGCCATTTTTATCATTATCTCATCTTTAATTTGTGGCCATGACTCTACAGTGACTCAACGATGTGAACAAATTATATAAATTGTCTAAATGTAAAATATTTGCCAAAGCTTTAATTATATATTTTTATAATTTCATTGTAAATATTCAAAAATAAAGCCTTTTTCTTAAATGCCACATGTTGTTGCCGCTGATATCATTTCACTTTTGATCAATGAGAGGACACCAGCTGGTTCAGTCCTAATTTATGGGACTAGGTGATGAGTTTATGATTTGGAAATCAGATGAAGAAGCTGAAGTAAAGTTTTCTTTTAATTTCAGCCCGTGACAGTGCCATGGTCGGCTCACCCCAGTTCGTGCCAGTTTTTCTTAATCATTATGCTTTAGGACCCTGAAATCTAACTTTGGCTATATTGGTGATGGCACAGGCCTTTAAGATATTACCAGATATTACTGTTGTCCGTTTTCCAGGCGGTGGTGAAATAAAGAGCTGTGAAAGCGTCGTTTGACCTTTTTTTGAGGCTTTTAATGACCTGTAACCTGTTTGAATCGATGACAAAGAGATTAAGTTTGAGCCTGCCTTTTATGAGAAAATGTTTTGATTGGATTTATACTCTTTATATTGGTAGAATGATTAGTACTACTACTTACCGGGAAAGGTAATTACTGTGTTTACACAGGCATAACCTGCCTACACTTCCAAAGAGCTCCCCACTGGCTGGGCGCCTCGGCTGATGCTATCGGGCCTGTAATTGATACCGTGATAAAAATCTAAGGGCTGATCATACACGTTAATGAACGGTGTGTGCAGGAGAGCAGCTGACAGTCCAATCCACCCACATGCCGCCTGTGGGATCTGTTGTCCCGCATAGAAATTGCGAGAATTTTCCCATACAGGCCTATAGGCTCTGCCCGCTCTCTCTGTGTAAACTGTTTATTCCTGTGACCTGTTTGGCTGTACTGTACCAGCCCTAACGAAAAGACTTCTCACAGCTTAATAGACGTCACTGTGCGCCACTGAAGGTTTTTGTGACCACGTTTGTCATGTATGATTTCACTTATATGTTTGGCCTCTATGTGTGGGGGTCAATCGACCCTATTTATGGTGCGTTTTAACAAATCTAGCCCACTGGTATGTGAGGCAGGGTCTTACATGTTATCATGGTACTTATCGTTGTGTATGAATCCACTAGTTTGTCTCAATGCAAAACGTCTTACTGTACTTTGGGTCAGAAATAAATATTTTCGTTAATATTTTCGCACTTTTGCATATTTCACCAGTAAAAGTGGATTAACACTGTTTTTATTTATTTGCTTACTTGTTTGTTTTTATTTTCATTTAATTACAAATCCAAAATGTTAAAAAAAATCCCCCCGATTATTTTCTGGGCAACCAATATTTTAAAAATTAAAATTCTTTTAAATGTTAAATTTATACAAATAAATCAACAAATAAATACATTTCGTTAAAAAAAAACAAAAAAAAAAACAAAAAACAAACAAACGACGAATACAATTTGAATTTTCTTTGTTGTTCCCGTGTAAAACCTGCATCACTTCCAGTGGAACTGATGCAGGACGTGTGGTCAGGGGGAATGTGAGCACTGCTGTTGTTTCGGTGACAGACCCAGTTTAGTTTGGCTGAGTAACAATGAGCATTTCTGTGGTTTTAACAGCACATCCAGCTAGAAAGAGTTGTCATATAGTCTAAATGTGTTTCTTCCCCCTTTTTGACGTCAGCATGCCTTAAAAATTAATAGCTGTGGCTTTATAGTTCCCAGTGCTCCAAGCTGTTAACTTTTCAGGTCGGTCAGGAATGACTTGACAGTGTTTTGACTGAGCTGAGGTGACAGTCACCTTTTGGGATTATTGATTGTATCCGTTTATTCTAAAGTGATAAAACTGAGCAAAATCAGACACATTAACTCAAAGTGTGTTGACTGGAGACAGGATCAGTTCAATACTTATCATGAATTTCAGTAAGTTTAGCTTTTTGTTATTCATATCGAGTTATGATTCTTTTATTCTGATGTTGTTGTTGTAAAGTTCGAGGGCATACATGCATAACTGGAATGCAGCTCGATTGCCATAGTGGTGTTGCTGAATTTTGCTGGGTACAGCGTATGCAGCTTGATCATGTTGTGGGCTTTCAAAACGGTTTCTGAATCACAACAATCTCAAAATCAAGCGTAGACACAGCAGTTGTCCCTGCCACTGTCTGCCGGCCGTTACAAAAGCAGTTAAATATTAAATGTCTGGCAATGATCGACTGTAAAAGGCCAGGATTTCTTAATACAAAGCACTTTAATGTCTTTTACTGGCTGGTTTTGGTATACATGCTGGAATCTGGGTGTCATAAGCTCTATTTTGCAGCTGTTGATTCTTTTCCCCTTTTGCAGCAAAATCCCAAGTGACTCAGTATATCCAAACATTAAGATGGCCTTTGAGTACACACGCTCCCTGACTGGAGTCGTTCATGTTTTCCCGGATACCACTTGGGGTTCGCAAAATACTCCTTCATGGTGGTGGGGTTACTTCCTGCGGGACCTATGGTCATCAATCAGGGCAGCAAGTGATACCCCCCACTGCGTCTTCAGCAGACCCTCTGTGCTCAAAGAGCAGCAGGTGGGCTAGTTTCAGATGTTGTTTTTTATTGAAAAGAAACAACAGTCAAAAAGAATTTGTATTTTTTAAAGATTTACAATCTGATCTCTCTGCAGATGACTGTAATTGCCACGGGTCAGATGAATCCAGTAGCTGCATACAGAAATTCCTACTTGCATTAGTTTTACTTGAACTGTAATGTAAAATGATACACATGAGCATTTATTGGTTTGGATTCCTCGCTTTAAATTGATAAATGCATTTGCCACGTAATGCGATACACTTTAAACGCAAGTAATACCACAAAAGTATGCAGATGCCCAGGCTTTAATACTTCTGGGCACCGAGCTTGTTGGTCTTAAGGGTCTTACCTCTAAAACTTAGACTTGAAAGGATTCTCAAATACCAAAAACTCAAACAGATACTTGGAGAGATGGATAGGAACTTGGCCTCCTTGAGCCTAATGGATATGATATTAAGTACTATTAATAATCCAAGCAGAAATGAAACGGTGACAGAGGTTCCTTAAAAAGCTAGAACAGGCGCTCCTGTCTTCAACTGTAACAATCCATCAGTGTCTGCCATGTGTACAAGAGAGAGTGAGAGTTCTTCACAGACCAAAGTTCAGTTTATGAATTTGACACTTTGCTTGGTTTGAGGCATTTTACATTGTGTCCTCTTTTCGCTTTAAGGGGGAAAACTACCCTAGGCTCGCCAGGAGTCACTCACTCACTCATCCGCTGCCTTTGCACAAGTCAAAGCCAACAAGAGAGCATCTCAGGACAGGCGACATGGCAGGTCTTGGAAAAAGCAAAGAAAGATACACGAGAAACCTTTTAGAAAGAGAGTGGCAAGTTGGCAAAGTTTCAGTTTTAGAAAGGAGGTCAGTGTCAGCACTTCTAGTCATGTCTGAAATTTCAAATGACTTGCCTTGCCGTGGAAACATGGTGCATGCAAGCATGTACAATGCTGGAACATGTGCGTATCCTCATCCTTGACGAGCAGAACATTATTTTTTGACAGGCGTGTGAGAAACGCTCATGAATTAAAACTGTCATGGTCGCCAGCGTGATGTTAATATTTTCTTGAAAGAATTAGACTAAATTAGATCAGACAGTGTAAGTTATACATGCAAAAAGATGCGCATCCTTCATAACACATCCAAAAGTTATCAATATTCTAAATATTTTTATTAGATTAATTTAGAATTAAACCATTTTTCACCAAGAATGTAAAGATCAAAGCAATGGGTCTGTGAAAATTCTTGTATCATTCTTGTAATGCAGTCACTACTGGCTTTTTTCCCCCCACTGACTGTCCACAGGATTTCCAAGCAGGCAGAGTTACAGCTCTGTAGTCTAGGGGATGATAAATGTCTCCCTCCCATGTTCTTACTTGCTCTGCCAGCTCACCACATCAACCAGACGCTCTAAAAGTAAAAGGGACAGAGACATGATGATGACATTTGGCTTTCTAAATGAAAACGTATCATTTCACTTTTTCTCTCAGGAGACTCCGCTGCTGTTTTTTGCTGCCTTTGAGGATACAGCAATACAGCAATAAAGAGAATAACCACAGGATCACATCAAATTGCAGAGGCCAGATTTGATTATTATACACAGATGACTAAAAGACCATGAAATTATGTTTGCAAACACAATTAAAATGCACTCTTTGAAAACAATGCCATGAAAGCCGACCTATTTTTTTAAGAATGCTTGTAATTTGTCATAATTTGTGCATATTGTCTGTAAATATCAACGCCTATAGCAAAATCCACTCCTTTAGTGGAAAGTCATAACACAGACCTTCATGGAAATTTGTCAGCAGTTTCGCATGTCTATTTTACTCTAGATCTTGGCAAAGAGAAAGACAGTCATGAGAAGAAGAGAATCCTCTCTAATTTGTGGAAACTATAGAATTAATGTTCTACCAGAACGCCCATCTGTGACTTATTTAAAGTGTGCTGAAACATATACCACGCCACACACATGCAAAATGCTACCACCAAATAAAATACTTAATTTTTGGCTCAAATTCTTATTAGGTGATAATAAGATGATGACTCTTCTCCCAAAAAATGCAAGTGGTAAACCACGGTACTGTCTGCTGGTTTGAGGAGGAAAGTCCTGCATGAAACTCAGATGGATCCTTAAAACGGGTGAATGGGCGTTATTGTGTTTGGAGAGAAGATTCAAAAGCAGCGTTATTACTGGACGTTGTATGTGATTCAAAGGAATTCTTACAGAATATGGCTTTTTCCTGTCTTTTTAAATAATAAGAGCTTTGCTACCATCAATAATTTTTAAAAAGAAGA